AGAGCTGCTAAGGCCTCGTAAACAGCAACAATGCTCTTAGAATTCAGACACCGACTCAGACACAATTGCTTCAAAATACTTAGCCGTGAATACATCCATCTCCACTGAATTGTGTTTCATTTCACCGCTCGGTCCTGGTCGAGATAGACATATAGTCCCGAGGTCGTCTTGCACGCGCGCCAGAACATTTCGGTCGACGTGCACTCGACACAGATTTTTAGGGATCTCAGAATACTCAGCATCGCTCGCATTCATACACACAAGGACTCGGTCCGTTACGAGGCGTTGATGCAATAGCAGGCTATTTTTTTCTAAGAGAATAGTCTTCGGTTGGATGAAGTCCCACGTTTTATTAAGCTCAGCTTTGCCAGGTAGCCAGCACTGAGCAAAAGGGAGTACTCTTTTTACTTCAGTGAGAATAATAATGTTGCACGCAGGTGCATCAGATTGGTTATTGCGGTTATGTCGGTCAAACCGTTAAGTTTTTTGTCGCGTACTGCTTGTGCCATGCCCCGCCTTCTGTTGGCTTAGCGAGTTATATGTTTTGCCTTGTTTGAAAGCTTCAGAATACGGTCGTCCAGCCTGTTATAATTTGACAATATCCACCAGTGTTTGTCGAAGCGTTTTCTTTTTTGACAAAATCGTCTTCTGACCACTGGACGAATAAATTCAAACAGTTGGTGAAGACATGGCCTCTCGTGAGTGCGTCGGAATACCCCTGAACATGATGTTATTTCGCTACGAGAATTGGCCAAAAATGTTTACGAGCGCTTCATCAGAGTTTGTCAGTCTCCGTAAGTGCGAAAGTTGATATCACCCGAACAACAGCAGAATACTGGTCCCACTGAAGTCTGTGAGAAACGATTGTGGTATCTTGTGCGAACAGAAAGGTGATAGCTTTAGCGGAAGCGTCCACCAGGAAGTAGCTTCATGAAAACGATCAATAAATCTCATGTTGAGGTTTCCAGCCACCGTGTTATTTTCGCATGGATGCCTGTAG